ACATGTTTCTTATATAGGTAGTGTTATCAGTTGCAAAAATTTTCTACCATTTAGCGCCAACAGCAGATGCCTACAAATTAAGCAAACCGCTAATTAGGCTGTTACATAGCCATCGAGAAATTCAATATGTCGTACTAGCTAACATCGCTACAATGGCAACGCAACGGCCTGTATGTGATAATTTTTTTTAAAGTTAATAGTTAATACCAATGAATTTTTAACAAGTGTTGTCAAATCATTATTATTGCAGTATCTTTTTGAACCTCATTTACAACAATTTTTCGTCCGATCAACAGACCCTGTTTTCATTCGTAACTTAAAAATGGAAATTATGACATTAGTTGCGACCGAAATTAATATAACTGGAATACTTAGAGAATTGCAGGTTTAGTTATCTGTAATTGTTTAACGATTTTAACATATAAATATTTGTTATCGTGCTAAATCGAATTAATTAATTACTCAAATAATTAGGAGTATGTAAAAAGTCCTAATAAAGATTTTGCGACCTCTGCAATTCGAGCTATTGGTCGATGTGCAATAGGAATGCCAGAAATGGCTGAAAGTTGTCTTAACGGATTAATGAAATTATTATGGAGCAAGAATGGTCAGATAATTGTTTTTTTTTTTTTTTATGCTTTAAATGGATTGAAAATATTCATATGTTATTTTCTTATTTTTAGATGCTGTTGTTGCAGAATCTGTTGTAGTAATAAAAAGACTTCTGCAATTACGCCCTCAGGATAATGCAGATATGATAATACAACTTGCCAAAGCTCTAGATCATATAACGGTGCCAATGGCCAGAGCAAGTATATTTTGGCTCGTTGGTCAATATGCACAAAATTTAGAGAAAGTTGCACCGGACATATTAAGGAAAGCTGCAAAGACTTTTACAACAGAAGCAGATGTCGTTAAATTGCAAATTATCAACCTTGGCGCTAAGCTCTTATCACTTCATTCCACGGACCACACTTTGAATCTTTTATTCCAATATGTTCTTAATCTGGCCAGATATGATCTTAATTATGATATCAGAGATCGTGCAAGACTTCTCAGAGGCTTGGTTTTAATAAGCGAGAACAAAGAAACCAATATTGACAATATGGGGGAAGGAGTGCTATCAGAAGAGTATAATAAGAGCTCTATTTTAAAGAACAACTTGAAACAAATACTTTTATGTGAAAAAGAGGCGCCTTCAGAAGAAAGTCCATCTGTAGGTGAATAAAATAAATTCATTTGATCTTTTTTGTGAAATTTATCTTTAAACTTGGCATTTTTTTTAAATATTATTGAATGTCCAGGAAGGGACAGGTTCATCTTAGGATCCATGTCGCTTGTATTAAATTATTCTGTACCTGGATATAAGTCTTTACCTGACTGGCCAACTGAAAAGCCAGATGGATCTGTCAGAGAGAATTTGGTAATTTTTCTTTAACAATATTATTCAGTTAAAAAGCTTAGCAAAAAAGATTAAAGTTTAATTTTGCGCTAGGATGATACATGGAATAGAAGCCAATATATCAAAGGATTCGGAAGTGATTCATTTGGACGGTATATTCCATCGTCAACTTATGATAAACCCATTGTCAAACAGCATAACGATTCATATGATTCTGAACATTTCTATGATTCATCTGATGATAATAGAAATCATGACGAAAAGACTGGTAAATTAAGTTTTTGTTTATTTTTTTCATATAAGCATAGGCTAAATAAATGTAACATATATACGGTCCGAACTTTGCAATTTGATATATTTATACAGCTCTTCGATATAACACAATCGAGGATGAAGCTTCGAATGAAGAAACGAGTGAAGAATATGACGGCGAAGAAGAAGAAGAAGAAGAAGAAGAAGAAGAAGAAGAAGAAGAAGAAGAAGAAGAAACAAGTG